GGCTGTGCCCCCCGCGCCGCCAGCACTCTCTCGTGCCGCTCCCTCGGAGTTTGTCCTCCGAGTTTGCCCGGACCAAGCTCGCCCTGCTCCCCCAGGGTCTCCGAGTCCCTCCCTTGCAACGCGTTCTCCCTTCACCGTTCCTCCCTGGAGCAGAGTCAAAACCGAGGTGGAACGAGGTCCCTCCTGGGAGTCGAAGCGGAAGGTCGCGGGCGATGGTTAATTGGTTCCAAGGCCGTTGCTTTTGGCAGTCATTGCGGAATTCTGGAACGGAGTCCGAGGGCTGAAAATGCAAAACTGTTCTTTTCTTCTTCTCTCTTCCCTTGAGTTCCAGAGCTCTCTTATTCAGGACGGCCTGTCTTAGTTCAGACTGTGCCTTGCCTCTTGTTTGCGCCCCCTCTCTCTGACTGGTCCACAGGGTGATCCTGGGGAAACAAATGGGGTGCCGCCTCAGAATGTTCGTTTGTCGTCAGCTGGGCTAACGAAAAGTTAATGGGGGGCCCTGTGAAATCATTGGTTCAAAACTTTGGAGTTGTCTGAGGATTGAAATCAAACATTTCAACTACATTCTTCGTTTGCCATCCCATCACCACTGCAAATAAAGACTTGGTGTGTAAGGATTTAGTCTGATGTTTAAGCTAGTATTTAACTGACTCGAAACCATCTTTTAAAAAGTTACGAAGACGCTGGAATAGAACCTCCCCACCCCCCTCCGCCGCCGCCCCAACGTCGATCTCAGGCCAGCTAGGCTCGCCTCAGACTTGCTAATGAGGATGACTTTGAACTTCTGATCCTCCACCTCCGCCTCCCAGTGCTGGGCGCTTTTAGCCTTTCATCAGTAAATTCTATACACATGATAGCTGCTACCTGAAATGTGTTTACATCCCCCCCCTTTTAGAACAAAAAAATATATTTACAAGTATAAGGTCGGGCTATTAAAATTAGTATTCAGCGTCTCTGATTAAAATCAGTTGATATCTCCCGGTGGTGGTGGTGCACACGTTTAGTTCCAGCACACTGGAGGCAGAGGCAGGCAGACCTCTCTGAGTTCAAGGCCTGCTTGGTCTACAGAGTTAGTTCCAGGACAGTCAGGGCTACACAGAGAAACCCTGTGTCAAAAAACCAAATAAATAAATAAATAAATAAATAAATAAATAAATGGGGGGATTTGGTTTTAATTTAATGTATTTAGAGAAGTAAATTTCATGGTGATATGGTTTTAGTTTTATTCTTTTTTCTTGCTGTTTTTATTTTTTGTTTGGAGACGGGTCTTATGTAGCCTTGGTCAGACTGGAATTCTCTATTTAAACCAGGCTGACCTTGAACTCGTATAGATCTGTCTGCCTCTGCCTCCCATGATTCATGACTTTAGGGAACAAGAAGAACTTGACTTTGAAATTAGGACCAGATGGCAGTTTTTTTTTTTTTTTTCATTGCCTGAACTTGAACCTTAAAGGTGTAATTTTAAAACCTCACCCCCCAACTTTTTCTTTCAAAGAAACCAACTCATTAATTTTCAGTTGTCATCCATGTGAGTCACTATTTCTCTTGCCCCAGGTAGATAATGCTGCTTTTGTCACTGTTGGTAAAAGGCAGTGAAAGTCTGGTTTTAGGGTAATCATTTATTGAGAGAGAGAAAGAGAGAGAGAGAGAGAGAGAGAGAGAGAGAGAGACTGACTTGGGATAACCCAGTAATCCAGGCCAGCCCCAAAATCAAAACCCTTCTGCCCGAGCCTGCCTAGTGTCTCATTGGTGTGGATCACCAAACCTGGATGTTCGTGTGTACTGAGTTTTGTTACTTTTTCAAGATGGTCTTTATAATTTGGGCTCGAACTCTTAACGTTCTGCTACAGCCACCTCCCTGCTGCTAGGATTACAGGTTTGCAGCACTACTATGTCAAAGATAGAAGCCAGGGCTTCAGGCTTAACTCTCTCTCCTTTAGTCCCTGCACTTGAGATGCAGAGGCCGGCAAATCTCTCTGAGTTCAGGCCAGCCTGGCCTACATAGTGAGTTCCAGTACTACCAGGGCTTTGCAGAGATACCCTGTCTCAAAAAAAAAAAACAAAAAAACAAAAAACAAACCAAAAAAAACCAAAAACAGTTATCATTCATGAATTGTGGTAGGGGGGCTACAGCATAAATATGGAAGTCAGAAGACAATTTTGTGAAGTCAGTTCTGGGTCTGGGCATGGAACTCTAGTCACCAGATCTTTGGGCCAAGCCCCGTCACCTCGAGCCATCTTTCCAGTTCCTATACTCTTTTTTTTTTTAAAGATTTTATTTATTTATTATGTATACAACATTCTGCTTCCATGTATATCTGCACACCAGATCTCATAATGGATGGTTGTGAGCCATCCTGTGGTTGCTGGGAATTGAACTCAGGACCTCTGGAAGAGCAGTCAGTGCTCTTAACCTCTGAGCTATCTCTCCAGTATATAGGTTCCCCTAGTATCAATGCCTTTAGTTGTGTGGGTAACTGATTTTTTTCCCTTTAGATTATGTAGCTGTTTGACTGTCTTACCTAACAGAGCAGATTTCTTTTCAACAAAGGAAAAAGGTTATTAACAAGCAGTTTTTCAGATATTTTCCTTATGTCTGAAATTGACAATGGAAATTGGAGATAGACTGTAAAACCACACTCAGGAACTTTGCTGAGCCTCGACAATTTATGCTGCTGATTCCTTGGGGGGGTGGTAGCTTAGGCTGTCTGAACTTTTCCTAGTGATACTGGAGTTGGCTGTATGGCTCAGGGACAGAGTGCTTGCTTGGCATTCAAAGGCCTTAGGTTGGAACCCAGCAGTTCCAACATATGCACAGGTACACTTGTTATTAATAGAATTGAAGTTGTGTCATGATCTCATGATCTAGAATTGCCTACGAAGTATTGGTATGTCCATTTTTTTGTTTTGTTTTTGTTTTTGTTTTGTTTTTTTTGAGACAGGGTTTCTCTGTATAACAACAGCCCTAGCAGTCCTGAACTAGCTGTGTAGACCAGGCTGGTCTCTTAGCTCAAAGGGATCAGCCTCCCTCTGCTGGGATCAAAGGCTTAGGCTGCTACCACCGGCCCTGGCCCACTTCTAAAAAACAAAAGGAAAGAAACTTGTATTGATTCTTATTGGATTTCGAATCATGCATTCCAATCCCACTTATCTCCCCATCCTTCACATCCGCCCTCTGCCCTTGCAACCTCCCCCCAAAACAAAACAAACTTAAAAGAGAAACCAAACAAGAGAGAGAGAGAGAGAATCTTGTCATGGAAGCTGTAGTGTGGCCCTTTGAGTCATACAGTTTTAATCTGTAGTCTATTCATCTTTACTTGCAA